GGGCCCTGCGCGGCCTGAGCCTGCGCGACAACGGGCTGCGCCGCCTCCCCGCCGAGCTGGCCGCGCTGCGCGGGGTGAGGGACCGCCCCGTCCTGCCCGCTGCTCCGGGCGGCGCCTTCGGGTGACCTCCACACCGGCCTGGAGGTGCTTGAGACCGGCACAGCCCTGCCCGCTACCAGTTCCTGAGCCCCAGGGGCAGGTCCGCAGTGCGCTGCCGGCTCTAGCAGTCCCTGTGCAAGCAGTCCTCTGGGGGGGGACATGGGTGCCTCAGGAGCCCGGGAATGGAGACCAGGGGGCAGCTCCGCCTCCGTGTGGCATGTGCTGGTCCCGCTGGGTCTCGGCTCTGGCACGAAATCAACTCCCCCTTCACCCAGTCCATGAAAATATGCACAAGGTTTTGGTCCTTTTAAAAAAAAACCCAAAACTTTTGTCACACCTTCCTCTTTATTTCCCGCCCCCTCCCCCCATTCACTTCAAACAATTGTTTTTCAACGATTTTCCCCTGGCACCCACATCTCTTCCCCCCCACACCTTTTCTTCCTGATGGCAGGGGAGTGAGGGAAGCCACAGATCCCATGCTGGTTTCTCTGCTGAGAGATGCAGTCCACTTTCCTCCCACCGGAGAGGAGGGATTGTCCTGGCTCCCCTGTACACCCCTGCCTGCGGGTCCCCTCGTGGCAAGTCACAGTTGTGCAGGTCACAGTAAGCCTCTACCTGTGACTGCTCTGAAACTTTTAGGACAACGTAACAGTCCACTGATTTACAGATTTTAAAGGTAACCTGCAACAGCACCCAAACGTACCTTTCTTTAAATCATCTGCCTTGTATGCCCAAGCTAAGGTCAAAGTAGGTTACTTAGAAAACTTCGTCCCACTCTAACTGTGTCAAGAAATGTTACGTGCATTTTTCCATAACTTTTAAAAGGTGTTTTATTCCATGCAGAGAGAGCAGGGTTTGAAGTGATTCTCATCCTACAGTATCAGCTGGGGAGGTTCAGAGGCAGGCCATTGGAACTGAGATTCTGGAAAGCTCTTTGTCTTCTATGCTTGTATTTATCTTTAGTAGCCTCTGGGATTTGGATATTATTAATATATAAATATTTATATAAACCTGTGTGAGGTTTTCTATGTTGGCATGGAGTTGTTTTTTTTGGCACTGTGCACATATATGCATGTGTACTGAACCCAGTACAGCAGTTCTTGCAATAGATCCCTCCAGAAGTTACTCGAATTCCAGGTTAAAACTTCAGGTTACACAAGTAACTGTCAAAGGGTTTACAGCTGTGCCTTAATGTTGGCTAAATGTGCAAAATCCAGGTCTTTTCCTTGAAGGTATTGTTTTGTTATATACGTCTCTGGTAATGAATTAGCTTCATTATTTTTAATGCTGTAGAAAAAGAAAATGGAACTTTCCTAAATCTAATCTCCCATATATGAAATTCTGTTAATGTTGGGGTATGTGTGTGTCAGATTTTTTTTCTGTAGTTTAGAAGGAATAGAAGGGAAATCACTAAATTCTGAATTTCCCAGTAATATCCATGTTTTAGAACTTGGTTAGCTTATATTTGCTGCTTTTATGTTGTGGGGTAGAAACAAGCTAGGTGGTTATTTGTTTATAAACCTCTTTTTATAGTTGACAGAACTAAACTTGGGAAACAATATCTTTGAGGAAGTTCCAGAACAGCTGAAGTATCTCAATTCACTACAGAAGCTTCACTTATTTGGAAATAAAATTGCTACAATATCACCCACAATATTTGGTAAGTTGATGTCAAATCAAAGCAAGCTATTTAAATATTTAAACTTAAAATATTTAACAATTTTATAGTTTATGTTTAAAATTTTCAGTCTGAATAGCGTTGTTTGGTAAACCATGTATTTTTTTTCCACGTTGGAATAAACTTTTTATTATACTGTTCTTGGAAACCTTAATGCTTGAACAAAAAAGTTACCTATTAGCAATCTGTATGCAGGTGGGGGTTTTTAAAACCTCACCAACTTATTTGCCCATTGGCAACTGTAAGTATTAGGAGCAATCTAACTGAATTCCAGTTAACACCAGAGGGATGCTTTGGACACGCAGGATTTGCTAGCTTGGACAGAATTAGTGACCCTTCACCTTTTGGTGTTATTCTTTGAACAGTTGCCTGTGCTTGATGCTTCATAGGCCCTGGACATATGACATACTTATACTTGTGTGAACTCACTTAAGTCTGACCTAGAATTTGCCAGGGAAAAATTAGGGGAAAACTACATCACTGTTAGTGTCATGTACCCACAGTTTATTCTGGGGTAGTTATTTGCTGAAAGCAAATAGGGTATTTTACCTGCTTCCCCACCACTTAGTGCTGAGACACTATGATAGCATGAGCTGTGTGCAGCTGCACTGGAAAAGTTGGATTTCAGTTCATTCTGAACAGCAGTGCAGTTTGCATCAGTGTACCAAACTGATATGATGTACACGGGAGCAGGGGAGGATCTCAGATTTAGTAAAGAGGGGTACGGCACACCGCCTTTCAGACCATGGTGGAGGATGGAGACAAGTGTGGTTGGAGTCCTCAAGCCAGCAGGGGACTCTATGGGGTGGGGCAGGAAACAGATGCAGGAAGGGGAAAACTGCCCCTACAGCCATCGTCCCTGGCTGACCTGGGCATGTAGGAAGCCCCAGAGCCACTCTTCTTACCTCATTGGACCTGATGGGGGGAAGGGTGGCTGTGGGAAGCAGCTGCGCAGGGTGCTAGACTCTGCTGGGGACAATGGTGACAGTAGCTGGACTTCCCACTCACCCCTCCCAGATTGTTCCCTCCTGGAAGGGGAAGGAAGGCGGAAACTGCCACCACTGCTGTCCCTGGCTAAGCCTGGAACAACAAGTAGCTGCCTACTGGAGTCTGGCTAGAGTAGGACAGGAGCAGCTCTGGAAACAGTATGAAAGGCAAGAGGAGGTGGGTGTAGTGGGGACCACCGGGAGGGGTGGGAAAGGAATAGGTACTTTCCCCGGCCGAGCCTAGCATCCTGTGCAGTCTCAGTCTGCACTTGGAGCAGAGCAGGGGTGGCTCTGGGGCTCCCCCAATGTCCAGATCAGTGGTAGCAGAGGGTGGGTCCCCTCCTTTGTCTGCCTGCATCCTGCTAAGCTCCCAGCGTGCCATGCCAGCCCAGGGGATCCAGCTGTAAGATGAGGCTGTGCAGGGGGTTGGGCTCAGCTGGAGACAGTAGTGGCAGAAGGGAGGTGTGACTGCTCTGCCACATCCCTCCTTAATCCAGTCCTGCAGCAATGTACATATGCAAGTCTGTTTGTATGTTGTATGCCTTAGGCTGTAGGAAGGTAAACTTTTCTAAAATGCACTATACTCTACATGAGGTGGTAGGTTAAGCCATTCCCCCAGCTTGATATGCGATTACTATTTCAGCATTGTTACTGTACTCCACTTATGCATACTGGATTAGTGCAGAATTTGCTTAACTGTACAACACATTGCCAGTCCAAATTTGTTGTCCGCTACTTACACCAGTGAACTCCAGGTTTCTGCTTATCCATTAAGATAGTAAGCACCTTAGTGCTCACTAGCTTTTAGCTCTACTGTCTGTTTTGAAACTTAATACTGTTCTGGTTAAGTGAATGCAAACTGTATCTGTCTACTTCGTAGTCGCCTTGATGGTTACTATTAAAAACTTTGAGAATAGGGGGAGATGGGCAGTTTTGAGGCTTCTGATATCACATCACTGACAGTGCTGTGCATGAACAGATCCAGGGGGAGGTATGAAGAGTTTGTGGCTCCACCACTCCCCCTCACCCTTTGGCTATGCAATACTCTGAACTCATTCATTTATCAGAGCAGCTTCAGCTGCTTTGGGATGGCACCAGAGTTTAGGTGGTGAACACTGGTGCTGCTGCTACTCCCACTGAGTCCCTCATCCCTTGGCCTGCTGCCAAATTTGATGGCAGGGAAAAAACAGGGATGGAGGGAAGCCATGGTGTTCACTCCCTGGATTCTGGAGCCGTGCCAAAGAAGCTAGTGAGCTTACTGTGCATATGCTACACAGTCAAAGTGGGGTGCAGCTGCAGCCCCCTGAATCCATAGCAAAAATTATTTGAAAGCTGTCTGTGGTGTAGCACTGGTAGCCTTGAATCTGATTCCTTTCAGAGTTTTTAATTATTACTGTAAGAGTTGCTATCAGAAGCCTGGAAATAGAGCAGCCAGTCAGTTTTAGAGCTATTAATACCATATCATTGACTGGACTTTGAATTTGGATAAATGCATGCTCCATATTCATGCATAGATTTTTCTTAGTCTGAAGGCTATGCACTTACATGGGGTACATGGAGAAATTACAGTATGCTTATTCTCTAATTATCGTCTTTGTTTATTTTACTGTGTACTCTAAAGTGTTTTGTACTGTTAAACAGCTGCTACAGTCAGTCCCAGAAGTGACAATAGCTCAAGGTTGTGTGAAAGGTTTCTTGAATATAGGGTGCACTGGGGATGGAAAGTGCTATATAAATATGTACATTTCCTGTTATTTCCTTTCTTCCTGTCTCCATTTTTTTCCTACCTTTTTTTTTAACTCCTGAATCTCCAATTTTCCTTTAAAAATCAATCCTTGCTCTGTGTGTGTGTGTGTGTGTGTGTGTGTGTGTGTGTGTGTGTGTGTTCCTTTCAAACTCCCCATGGTTACTTTTGTCTATAGTCCTGGGGCATGTGTAGGCAAAACAGGGGCCCGAAATTGAAGCGTTGGGTTTTATAAAACACCGTTTCAGTTTAGGGCTGATTAAATCCCCACGTCATGAATACACCTTGCTGAATTACCTGCCTCTACAGTGGGAAAGGGAGGGTGAGCTGCCAGCTGGCTGAGCAGTCCCTGGGCTGCAGGGGTGGGGGGTGTGTCACAGGCCGGCTAGGCGCTGTGAGTGTATCAGCTGTTAGGCTGCTGGGTTCGGGATTAAGGAGGTGAGTCGGGAGTAAAGTAAAGGCAAATTTACTTATAGCTTAGCGTACAACAGTTAACAGAAAGGTTAATGCGACAAACAGTACAGTAATAAAGAGCTAATAGTGAATAATAACAATAGATAGACAGAATGACATTGAGTTCCCACATGGGGTTGGCAATTTATCGGCAGTCCCTCTATGCCAGGTGCACGCCCAGTTGTTCCTATGAAGTCAGGCATCCCCGATCAATGCTGTCCGAGGGGTCACCGGGAAGGTTCCTTGGTCAGGATCCAGACCTCACTTACACTGGAAGTCCAGGGTCCAGGCATGGTACAGCGATGGTCCTTCTGTCCTGTCCTTCTAACTCGTCACTTGACATGCACGTTCCTTTATGCCTTATCTTACGCTAATCTGTTGGCTTTAGAGCCACTCAATCTTGCCCCATAGTTGTTACCCTATGGGATCAAAAGGTGTTAGAAATTATCATGAAAAGTTACCGCCCGAACTCAGGTTCACCCAATAAGCAAATTACACTACATTACTTTGAGGTTTGAAATTAGCATTATCTGCCCAAGCGCAACCCCTTGGTTTCTTATTCCTTGGAATGTGCTAATTATATCAGGTGGTCAGATCTTGTTATGGTTGACCTTTAAAAAACCTGTTAGATCAGCTAATCTTGTAGTTTGCTTATTTTTGGGGCCCATGATCAGTTAGATTCAACACTTTGGTTAAACTGTGACAGACAAATTCCACTTGCAGGTTGCAAACTTGCAAGCTTTGCATTAGTTAATCTTAACTGCTAAACAGTTGCCTGGATGTCTCCAAGAGCATATATTTATTACTCATGATCGTAACCCCTCTGGTTCTGGCTACCACGGGGGGGCGGCTGGTGCTTCCCTCCGTGGCAGTGGAGTCCACCCCTCAGGTGGCACCCGGCTCTGGTGGTCCCAGGGGGCACTGCAGCCGTGCAGGGAAGCACTGGGCCTCCGTGCAGCTCAGGCAGGCAGGTTCCGGGGGGTGGAGATCAGGCTCGCTGCTTTTCTTGGGCAGAACCTGCTTTCCTGGGCTGCTGCCAGGCTGCCTGCAGGGCTTCCTATGGAGCCGCGGAGCTGCACAGAGCCTGGTGCTTCACTCCTTGAAGGAACTTTAGTTTGCTGCACCCCAAGTCATTTAAAGTGCACTACGTCACCAAATTTCCTACAGCAGCTGGAATTAATGCGCAGTATGCCACTGAGGCGTGCAAACACCGACACCATTAAAGTGGTGCAAAAGCATTTAGCCCACTTTAAAGTGTTGTGCACACATGCCTCTTGTTTCATGTACACACGGCCCTCTTGGCTAAGTACAGATGGTCAAAAAGCCCGAGGCTGAATTGATTCAGTCTTTGCAGGTTAGTTTAAGATGCAGAGATTAAACTGACTAACAAGTGAATAGACATTCAGTTTTGATTCAGGAAATACAGCCATATGCAGTGGTTCAGGTGAAAAGCTGGGGGTTAGAAGAGCATGGCTCTGGCACATAGCCAGCATAGGCTGTGTGTTTGCTTCCTCTTCCTGCTGGCAGCAGCAAGGCGCCAGACTACCATGCGTAGACCCTGAGACGGTGCAGAGTCACTTGGAAGAACTGGATGCCTTTAAGTCGGCAGGCCCGGATGAGCTCCATCCGAGGGTGCTGAAGGCACCGGCCGACATTGTTGCAGAGCCACTGGTGGGAATATTTGAACGCTCATGGTGCACGGGCAAAGTCCCGGAGGACTGGAAAAGGGCTAATGTGGTCCCCATTTTCAAGAAGGGGAGGAAGGAGGACCTGGGCAACTATAGGCCAGTCAGTCTCATCTCCATCCTTGGCAAAATCTTTGAAAAAATTATCAAGGATCACATTTGCGAGAGCCCGGCAGGACAAATTATGCTGAGGGGAAACCAGCACGGGTTCGTAGCAGGCAGATCGTGTCTGACTAATCTAGTCTCTTTTTATGACCAGGTTATGAAACGCCTGGACACAGGAGGAGGGATGGATGTTGTATACTTAGACTTCAGGAAGGCCTTCGATACGGTATCCCACCCCATACTGGTGAACAAGTTAAGAGGCTGTGACTTGGATGACTACACAGTCCGGTGGGTGGCGAATTGGTTAGAGGGTCGCACCCAGAGAGTCGTGGCGGATGGGTCGGTTTCGACCTGGAAGGGTGTGGGCAGTGGGGTCCCGCAGGTCTTGGTCCTTGGACCGATACTCTTCAATGTCTTCATCAGTGACTTGGACAAGGGAGTGAAGTGTACTCTGTCCAAG